GTAAAAGCCAGGTCTGTACCAGCAACTCATTTGAATGGATTTAAATTCAAACTTGTGCACCCAATTCCTGGTCTTGAACGTCGTTAAAGATGTATGCAATCCAACCTGGAAAAAGAACAAAGAAATATTCTGCATATGAAGGGACTCCATAGCTGTAAATAAGGCAGCTGTATGAACATGCCATTGCTCCTTTTAGCTCTAAGAACAGGGTGCAGTGTTGAGCTTTATCAAACCCTGATGTTGCATATTTGCGGAATTCTTGAGTCCAAAAATGCCTCAATATGTGAAACGTCCCCAGGCAAAGAATTAATGACATCACGTTTCCCTTGCTGTGCTTGCTCCAAACAAAGAGTGCGGTAGAAGTTACCAAGGAGGTACCAGTTGTGTATTGTTTTTTTGTTTTTTCATACTTGTGTGATGTAAAGTGAGTTAATTATTTCATCAGTAGTTTCAGCCAGTAGAAACACGAACCCCGCCCTTCACTCCAGCGAAATGCTAACAGTTGTTTTTTTAAATTATACAAAGGAATTTTAATTGGTCTTATGGACCCGAGGGTTGTAAGGCATTTCCCAACGCATAAGAGAGCATGTAAATTTAGTAGATAAACACTTCGGTTGGAGCTGGAAGGATTTCACCTGACAGAAGTCATAATACGAGCAAAGTTGTACCACACTGGTTTCTATAATTAGTCTTAAAAGTCCCACCTTTTATTTGGTAGTTCTCAATCGAGGTAATAATGCTGTTATAAAAGTTTCACAGTTATTACTTAATCTGTCATCTCTGTGTGTTTCCTCAGCAGCTTCTCTGAGGTCTCAGGACTGTCCCTACCGCGGAGCAGAGCTCTCCTGCCTGGACGCCCGCTGGCTCCATGACTTTCCACAGAGACCTTGCTGCCAGTGTCACCTGAGCCCCGGACACACCTGTGGTAGGCTGCGGTTCACATCAAAGGGATTTTGCACTGAAATCGACAGACAATGACTACAAACGCTGGGTGAATTTCTGTTTGTGTAAAGTTGTGTCCCTGTGTGTGCTGTTCAGGTCCCGTCCATCTAATCCCGTCTCTGTGCTGCGATGAGAGCTGCAGTCTGGGCCGCAGCCAGGGTAACAGTCCTTTCCAGTCCCAGATGAGTCTCAGTGAAGGGTGAGGATAAAAAAATACAACTGATATTTTAAGAGAGTTTTTTGGGGTTTTTTTTTTTTTTTTTTACAGCACAAAGAGTAACTAGCTGAGGTTAAGATGCTGCTGCTGAGTAACTCCATATTACTTGCATTACATTAAAGCTTATGATAACATGCTTGGTTTGGTTAACACCTTTATCCAAACATTTGTCAGCACAGACAGAAATGACTAAGAAACCAGCAGTGTTTGCACTACTTGGCTCTGCTGAGTGGCTAGTAGCTAAATTCAACATTAAAGCTCATGTCCAGCTCTGCATTTTTATTCTTTATTCTCTACCAGACTAAATGTGCATGATTCACAGTTCAAAACAAGATTTTTAGCTACTCTCTCTTTAACCTTTCTACTGATTGGTTGCCCCTTGCAAACAGAATGTCTGATAATCAGGTGGGTGGAGCTTCAGAGTAGGCTAGTCAGCTGCAACATTGGTACCCTTCTGCTTTACCGCCTCAGGCCCAACGTTCTATTTTCAGGTGTTTCAACGAGGTGTTGCAGATACAATTTAAATGACACCTTTGAAGTGCTGACAGCACGCAGAAGCCACAGGGTGTGGCTGCAGACAGATTTGGGATGATATTAACTACAATTTTCTTAATTATGCTTCCCAGAAATGCAAACATGGACGAGGAGCTGGAAGGACATCCCGAGGCCGTCTGTAGGGCTGAGTATTTTGATGAACCTGCAGAAGGACCTGGGGCGGTGGGAGAAGAGGAGGATGAGGGGGAAAGGTGCGGGTTGAGGGACAAATCCCCTGAGAGGAGCTCACGGAGCTGCGGTGAAGCTGTGACAGATGTATCGACTCAGGAAGGTGAGGCAATATTAGCTCAATTCCTCTTTCAGAGAAGAAAACCAGAAACACTGATAGATTTTTTTTTAATTGGTTAAAAAAAATTAAATTCTTCATGTTTTATTGGTGTATTAACTCACTTGCTTGTGCAAAGAAAAAAAATCACATGGCCTCTCCCATGATTTAAAACACAGGCTCGGTATGAAATAAATCCCATAATCCCTGCTGAGAGTTAGAAGCTGTTCATCAACTGCTCTCAAACTCACGGCTTGCCTTTTTATAGCCTTGGACGCGACTCTGTGTCCATGAGGAGCAGCTGGTAAATAAAGTTCTTTGATGTAGACAAGACTGTCCTGTTTTAAGTCAGGTTCTTGGCTGGGCGAGGGTAGATACGTTACTAATCACTGCGTGTCTGCATTCCTCTTCCTGCTCTCTTTCCAGGATGACATAGATTTCTTTGGCTTGTGTTCCACCCTTGAACCACCCTGGACTCGACAACAGCCGTGGCCGGATCCTGTCTCGGATTTCTCACTAGTTCACCCCCATCAAACACAAAAAAAACAAAAAACACCGCAACCACCACTACATACACCCAGACAACCAGTGTGGCCACTCTGCCCACTTCAGAGCCCTCCATCTACCAGAACATGTGCTTACATGCAAACAAAAGCATAGAGACTGTGAATTCGTTGACCCAGAAGGTAAAAATCATATGAAGTTCAAATGTCGACCTATTACTGCGGAGCGCAGTGAATCAAAATGAGCCTCTGCTCTGCATCGAGAATGTCTTGCATCTTCATGTGTAAGAGAACAAGCAAACAAACAAACAAAAAAACTGTACCGCTCATTTAGCAGCTGGTGTTATGAAGCTTTTGTGTGTAAAGTTTGAAGTGTGACGAAAAGTGTCAAAAGTGATTATGTTGCACATTGAAGACAATCTTGATAATATGGAACAAGTTAAGATGAGGAATGTCTAAGTGATAAATGTGTTGTAGATACTGTAAGATAGTAAATAGGTCAATATTTTTGTAACATAGGCGTCATGTATGTCCCCCTCCCATGCACCCAGTTATGACGATGGTTGCGTTTGGTCACTTCCATGTGCCATTTTTGTAAATAAACCACTTGAACATGTTTACATACATTCTGTCATCATCTTTATTTTTTGTTAAATGTAAAAATTCTTTAATGAAAATAAAAAGTCAGTCATATGGCTGAAGTTCTGAGGTCTTCTTTTTTTTAAATCAATAACTACGAACTCATAGTATGTACTGCGCTGCTTTGAATCAGTCACTCACTCGTGTGATAATAGACTTCTCTGCATTGAATCATTACTTGTTAATCTCTGGTTCCCTTTCATAGCACATCTTTTGTTCTGTCTTCCTCCACTCACCCCAACCAGTTGCAGCAGGTGGCCGCCCCTCCCTGAGCCTGCTTCTGCTAAAGGCTTCTTCCTGTTAAAAGGGAGTTTTTCCTTTCCACTTGCACCAGCGTTTGCTCATAGGGAGTCATATGATTGTTGGGTTTTTCTCTGTTGTATTATTGTAGGGCCTCAAGGTGACTGTTGTTGTAATTTGGGGCAGTATGAATAAAATTGAACTGAACTGAATGTTGCTAAAGAATCAGTACTAATAAGACCAGGCAACATTTTCCAGTTTATTATATAATTTTGGTGATCCCAATGCGAACTGTAGCCTCAGTGTCCTGTTCTTAGCTGATGAGTGTCACCTGGTGTGGTCTCCTGTAGTCCATATGCTTCAAAGTTCCCGTGTTGTTACAACCAAAGTATGCAGATGAGCAGTTACTTGTTGCCTTCCTATCAACTCGGTCTCCTATGACATCATCAAGGCATTTTCATCCAGAGAGCTGCCACTCACTGGATATCTTTCTTGTCAGACGAGTCTCTGTAAACCAGTTCAAAGTCACATAACTCACCTTTATTCCCCATCCTGATGCTCAGTTTGAACTTCAGCAGGATCCAGTCTGAATGGAGTGCTGCCATGAAACTGGCTGATCAGATTTTTTGTGTTAACCAGCAGATTAACAGGTAAGTGTATATTGCCATCTATCTTCTAATTTAAAAAAAACATTTTATAAATATGACGGCTGATCACCACAGAAAAAAAAAATCACTAAAGAATGATTTAATCTAAACATCTTATGTTTCTTCCAAAGCCATCTGTGCAGGCGGCGTAGCACTCAGTGTGACAAGTCAACTTGTTTTGATGCCTAAAATTACACTAACATCAATACTGGGGCTGCACTTCAGTTACATTTAATCTCTGCTGATATAATTTGCTTCAGGTTTAATTGGAAATAGATCTGAAAGCAAAGCAATGTTGGAGAGACATCACACCCACATAACTGTCAAATCACAGTTTTGCAGCCTCTGTGAGGTTCGAGCCACCCAGCTCGCTCAGGCTCCGCCTGTCTGATGGCGTGTTTACACTTTCAACAGCGACGTGAATCTGCATCTCGGAGCTGGCACAAGGCAAGCAAAGGCAGCTGCAGTCAGAGCCCAGCTGACGACTACAGTGTGAAACTGTTGGAACAGATGCAAACAGCCTCTGTGGAGCATTTTTGTAAATATGCACAACTTCTTAAACTTCCAGAGACTGTGTGGCTTTGTGATTTATACTGTTGCAACAGCTTTTATGAATAATATGATAAGAACTGACCAAATCTTTCCTATTGTGCTGTAAAAAACTCACAAGCTGAAGCTCTTCTTTTTCACCCCTCCCCAAACTCCTGACAGACAAAACAGATGGAGCGGTATTAATTTAAAGCCTAAACAATGTCCTCATGACAGGAAGAACGGATTAAGTATTCTTCCTCATGCTGATTTGATCAGGAAAAAACCAAACCAAAACAATGTTCTGCTGTTACACAAGCTCAGAACAATCTTTTGGGGTATAAGCTGTGAAAATGATTTCATTTTGTTATTCATTCTTTCAAAAGTTTAAAGTGTTATAACTTTTTAAACTTTAAATGGTTAAAAAAAAAAAAAAAAAAAAAAAAAAAAAAAAAAAGTTTTACAACAGTTTCAGGGTTCTTTAACTTTTTAACTGTGTGCAGCAAGAGAACATGTCAAATATATTAAATATACATTATGTTCATTTGCAGAAAGCATGAAGATCTTTAGAAACCGTGACTATGAAATATGACGGCATGTCTTTGATTTCTCCAGCGTTCTCTCAATCTTTGCCTCATAAAGTTCGTTTCCTTGCAGCCAAAACTGGCCTTCAACCCTCAGAGTCCATGATGAAGGTCTCAAAGTTTGGGTTGAGCTCAGACACGAGCGCGTCCACAAAGTCCCCGATGGTGGGCCGTCTCTGCAGCATTCCTGTCTCACACACACACACACACACACACACACACACACACACACACACACACACACACAGGCATTAGGGGGTGTTTGCAGGCTGCAAGGAGTGGCACCAGAATTAGTTTGCTGTTTTCAATCACTCCATCTCACTTCATTCATGCTTTCCTTAGTGCTGAAATATTTTTAATCTGATGTCAGAGGAGTGGTCATAAAAAAGGAAAAGAAAAACCTTTTGTTTTTTGAGATCCTTTGAAGCAAGTGCTACATTTTTTCTTCCCAAATTAAGCTAAAATCATTTTAGGTTAATGGATTTCAGCTGCAGCACTTTTTTTAATTCCAGCTTCTCTTCCTCAACACTACAATGGATTTTTCCCAGTGCAATGTTGCTCACCATCATCTGCATTTTGAAGTGAAGATTTAAGGACATCACCACATTTTACCACAAAAGCGCCTCAACACATCCTAAACTACTGCAGATGTAGTGCAGCACTTTTTACTCCTCACACAGTACTTACACTGAGAAAATGGGCTCAAACACTCACACCTTAACAGGCCTCAGCTGGTAATAACGTCCATCACAGTATATGCACTAAAGTAACCAAAATGTGCAGATTTCCTGTATATTTACAATGTTTTATATTCTCTGTCTCACTCACATAGATTACACAAGAATGTGTCCAGTGTCGTGGAGCTGAGAGTGAGCTCTGGGAATGTCTGTGTGTTTTCAGAGCTTGTCTGCCAGCTCATGCATTGAGGACTCCCTAGCTCGCTTTACAATTCAGCAGCACGCCCGCTTTGAAGTCAGTTCATTTCCCCTTGTGCAGCTGCCAATGTAAATAGGCACTCTCCCCCTCCCCGTCTTTCCTGCATAGGTCACCTCCATTGAGTGCACGAACACACACACATAGGAACGTCTGCAGACACGCATGAATGGCGTCGCAAAGAGTTTCACACAGCGATCCTGAATGTAGACAGATATCAAGATGTGGACACACACACACACACACACACACACACACACACACACACACACACACACACACACGGGAGTCTGTGCTGTTTCCACCATGATTCTGACTCAGCAGGATTGCCATCTCTCCTTACCCACCAGTCGCACCCTGCCCCTTGGCTACAACGCGAGATACCATCACACAGGGGTCCCTAACACACTGTAACCGCAGGGCCCCGGGATCCCTGTGAACACGGCAGCCACATCACAGAGACGACTCCAACCATAAACTGATAGTCATGTTTATAGAGCCGAAGGGTGTTTTCTCCTTTGACCGCTGCTGACGTCTGTGGCGTCTTTGAGGCAGAGACCAAAATGCATTATTAGATGCTCACAAAGAGTATGCTGAATTTATACCTCAGATCAAAGTGAGCGTTGTAATTTAAGCCCCAACTTTCTTTCATGGAGACTTATATTTCTCATCATGAATTGGAAAACTAGAGTCGAAGCCCACAGTCCTGTTAGCAGCTCTCTGTGGTCCGTCATAGCTGCGTAAATGCTTTTGAAAATCTCAAGTTTGACCCAGAAGAGTTTTCCTGCCTTAACCTAATCAAATCCCCCCTTTACTTCTCAAATATGCAGCACAAAAATCAACAGAGAAACAGACACAGAGGTACGCACATGTCCTGACATGGCACTTGTTTACTTTGGTTGATTTTTTACAGCATGTGTGCAAACAGAGCTAAGGGCTACTGAGCTGAACTCTCCATACATACATACATACATACTGCAGCATCACCGTCACTTTATCATAGATTTCATTTCCTTGCTGTGTTTAAAGGGGCCTGACCAGCTACAAGTTTCTGTGGTGTTAAACAAGCAAAGTTTACTCTACAAGACTGATGAGAGATGCACAGGTGCTGGTGGTGTGTGTGTGTGTGTGTCTGTTGGGGGGGCTAAAGGTGGAAAAGGAAGTGCAATCTGTGAAGGAACTTAGTCAGGTAAACAACAGTTCCCATGCTAGCTGCTCAGCAGCAGCAGCTCGTGGTGTTGGCACACAGTTCTTACGGTACATGACAACAAGCAAAACAATACACAGTGAGGACTGAGATTTTCTCAGCCACGACCCCTGGGAGAGTTGGAGAGGAATGCACAGATAACCTCAGAGTCATAACAACACTGTGGAGGAGTATCTGATCTCAGAAGCTGCCCTTATACATACACACAGGGAGGAGGGGCCGAGCCACACAAGACCCCCCCCCCCCAGGGAGGAATCACCACACTGTAAAAGAGATGAAGCTCACAGACAAGTATCAAAATGTCAACTGAATACGTTTTTTTTACTCAGCTCATGGTTTTCACTGAATGGAAGCACTGGGTAATTAAAAAGGTACAGTCGGTAATTTGGGAGGTTATGTAATAGAAAAACTGAATATTGTACTCGGTGTGCAATTATGTCTTCCAACAAACAGATGGGTTCTCATAAACATAAAACTAATCCATTAAAAATACATTACAGCAGGTGCTGGTTGATGGAAGACAGCAGCAGCTGGCTGAAAGCTAACGCTATAGAAGATAATGATGGGCTCAAATGTCCTAAAAAAATCACACTTTCAATCTGATTAATAGTTTGATTACATTCTCAAATCGTATGGGAGTTTATTCACCAAGTGTCCAAGTCCAACAACGTTTTAATGTAAGAGACGGTTTCACTAACGCTAGTGTTGCCCCCCCCAAAAAAAAACATTGGCCGTATTTAAACTGCTGTAAATAACTTGTTGGCTTAGAATCTGTGAAAAAACGTATCAAACCCATCTCTCACGAATGAGATCAAGTAATTTTGAACCACAGAAACCATTCCTGCCACAAGGCAGAAGCTGCTGTTTTTTGGCCAAGTTTTATATATCCCTTATTCATCCAGCTAAAAAGTCTCATCGACACTAAAAAGGATGAGACTCTTGACCATACCACATTTTTCAGAGTGATCTGGTTGAGAGAGCAGCAGAAATTGCAACAAATATAAAACAATAGGTTTGTAAAAAGTAAACGAACATAAATTGACACCCGGCATATTGAGACTGCAGTCATATTTACAGCTGAGGTAAACAGCAGACTGACAGCCTGCACTCACTGCAGATGAACGAGGATTGCACTTGAATTAATAGGGATAAGAAAACTGAGTATGACTGAACATTTACAGTTTCTCAGAGCCTCTGGTGATGGCGGCAGCATGCTCTTTTGTTCAACAGACAGCTCAAAAGCCAGTAATATTCATTTTAGTGCGATATATAAAAAAGAAAAGCGGAAACCACCAAGGTTTGCCTGAACTATTACTGACATTATTACTATTAATGTCGTGTTTCTTAATATTATTTTTGACATTAAAAAAAAAATACTCAATCGCTGCAACTCTAGTTGATTTTTTGTGATTTGTTCGAAACCACTTTAACAAATCTAGACAGCTGAGATCTACAGATCCATTCAAACAGGGCATCCAGGTACCCATGGCTCACGACGACAGCAGCGCAGAGGAACAGAGCGAGTGGCTCTGCGTCACAAACGGTGGGGAGAACTGTACACTTACTCTTGGCTTAGCACCGAGGAAAAACCAGAGCCAAACTAAACATAGGCTGTGCTTTGTGCCCATTGTTGGTACAGCCCGAGGACAGAGCCTTTGCAGTGTGAATCATCTCGTATTTAAGAGTTTCCATTTCCATTCATAATGGCACTGACACAGCTATTGAAGAGCGGGGCTTCTAATCATTACAGTCATCTCAGGGCTTGCATCGTTAGCCAACTTGGCCAACGGAGTTTTGGGATGTTAAAAGACAAACTGGAGCCTCAATCGACCAACTGGCCACTGACTACCTGCTCAAGGGTACATCAAAAGTCCCCCTCCTCCACCCCACCCAATTTATCCAACTGATGTACAAACATTCGAAGACCCTCTTCTTTAGCGCAACTTCCACTGTCCTGTTTTCTTTAAACAGGACAGTGGTTCTCAGGGAGATGGAAAACACTGCGAATTGCTGGCGTACAATAGCCCCTGGTTTTTCCGCTTATGTCACCAGCTATCAGCACAAAATGCCAAAAAAAACAAAACAAAAAAAACAAACCCAAAAAACCTTTCAAGGGCAAAATCTTTTCAGCTCCCTGAAACGACATCCTCAGATATAAAGACGTCCTGACGTGGGTCCAGCCTCATGGTAAAATCTTTAAATTACACTGGGATTTTACATTTCACATCAGTAAATAGATAGCCTGCAAAGAAAAGCTTGTTTATTTACTCAAAGGGTGGTGGGCGATGGGTATCAGTCCAACGAAGGCCACTGTGGCTGGCTAGCAGCTCTGAGTCTGGGTAATGACAGCTCAGGGGACATGAATTTAGTACAAGTGCTCTAAAATTGCAGTCCAGCCTGCAGCTACTGCTGGATGAATTTATCAAAGATCTGAGATGCTGACTAAAAACAAATAAATAAATGAATAACAGAAGTTTGGATGGCATGGATAAAGTCTGTCTGATGACCTCCATGATTTGAGAAAGCAAAATAAATAAAGAAATTTTTAAAAAAAAAGGGTGTCTCATCTTATTTATTTATTCTTGCAAAATAACACATTTAATTTGTCCCCTTCAAACAGGCCATGAATGGCATTCGTGTTTCCCTCACAGAACACACAACAGACACTTTAACATTACTGAAAAAACTGAAACTTTTTCATAAAAACATATTGACCTTAACTCCTTGTTATAGCTTGTATTTTTGGTACTTCACAATTTAATAGGCTTCTTTTGAAGGCCAGTTACACCCAGTTGCAACTCCGAGGCAGCACTGTGCTACGTAGGAAATGTGCACAAACTGGAGCGTGCAATAACTAGCCCCGTCTCCTCTGCCGCCTCGTATTCCCCCGGAAGTGTTTGACACCGTTTTCACAAATCTTAAGGTACTTGCTGCTTCATTAGCCGATTCTCATAACTATTCCAAACTTGTCACGGTGTGAAAAGTAGCTACGTCTGTCAGACCTGCAGGCAGGCCCGGGGGCTCACCGCCTCTGTAATTACAGCTTTGAAGTTCAGGAAGCTTTTTCTACGAACCGCACTTAAGACAGGCCCAGAAAGCAAGCAAGACAAGGGTGATGACAAACACTGCACTGGGAGGCTCTTTGTTGAGTAAGCGCACACACACACACACACACACACACACACACACACACACACACACGAATTAAAAAGGAACATCAACACAACCTCTTCATAATTTTTCCAAAGCAACACTTACGTAAAAAATTGCATCAAACAGATTTATTCGGCTTAATGCATCGAGTCATTCTAAAAAATTTTTTAAGTGTGTTTATGCAGACAGACGGGTCTGCTCACCACTTTAGTCCAAACTGAAATACCTCAGCCGCCATTGTTTGGATGGCCATGACACGCTGCCATTTCTGGTCCTCTGAGCATGAATCCTGTGACCTGCTGCAGGTCACTTCTACTGTGTAGTATTTAAATAAATGTTTGATGGATAATACAGATGCTCATGGCTCCCATGCAATTTACTTTGCAGCTTTTGGATGGATTACTATAAAATTTATTGAACATATTTATGTCCCCGCTCAGGGTGAATCGTAATAACTTCGGTAACTCGTATATCTGCGGGTCAGGGCCCCCCAAGGAGGGTCGGGCAGAGAAAATAAAAAGCCAAAAAGCAGACAGATGTGATGAAAAGCAAAGTAAGTTACTCTCAGCACAGGCTCTTCCTGCACTTTATGGTTTGTCATGAAATGTGCTCCAAACAAAATCTATTGTCCACCCTTGCTGCTCAAAAACAGAATTTAATTTTCTTGAACTCGCACTTCAGTTAGCCATCACATCCCATCTGACACAGACTTAAAGTAAGAATTCAGGACAATTTTGGAAAGCCCCCACGAGTTAAACATTTACCTGATCAAACATTGAGTCTGACTCAAGTACGGGCTGTAAATTATGCCTTTTGCAGCTTAACATCTGGACTATGAGGTTTATCCAATCCTCTCCTCGACTTCAGACAGAACTATGCATCACTGTCTCACAAGTGCTGTGGGATTGTACAAAGCACCCCGCCTCGGGGTTTATTACTGATTGTACAAGCAGTCATAAGAACTATTCAGTCACGCTTCCCCAGACAAAGAACTAACGAGGTCCCGAGTCCCTGCTACAGAGCCCGAGTAGATCCATTTTCTGTGCTCAGTGTTTGAGACTATGGGAACAGCCTGGGCCATGAAAGCCCTCTCTGTAGGAGGACCCAAGGTTCAGTTTAGCCAGTCGATCGGCTTTCACTCTCTCTCTCTCACTGCAGTGATGCTGCCGCAATGAATTTAATACCTGGGTTTACATTTCAACACCATCTTTTCCTGGGAAACATCCAGGAGCAGGCAGGGAGGCATCCAGATAAAGACTGGCCTCTGATTGGCCTTTCCAGGTCTGCTCCGGTTCCCCGTGTGCCCTTATGCCCCTTCTACCACCTCACCTAAGGGGGATAAGCAGGGAAATGATACACACCTCCATTTACAAGGCTCTTTGTTTGAAAGGATTATGTGTAATGGGTTGGATCTGGATTCTGTCTCCTTCCTCTAGTGTTCTGGTTTCTGCTGGCCTAATCCCCGCTAAGGACATAAAAAGAGCCATTCTAATTCACTTCAAATCAATTTTCCATTCCTCAATAAGATTTCAGGATGTCTGCTATGAACCCATCAACCCTTCAGCAAAGACTGTGGAAACTTAAATATTTCAGCACATGTGCCGATGTTTTGTAGTTTTTCATCAAAATGGTGAGGTGGCTCAATGAGGGTTCTTTAAACTGCAGAGAGTTTCTGCTTTAGCTGAAGCATTTCTCCAGACAAGGAAAAAAATGTATTATTATAAAATTATTATAAATGCAGGTGCACACAATGGACAGGCTGCCAAAAAATGTGAGAGTGGATCTACCATCTAGCCCTCCCAAGGCTCTTTCATTTGATCTGCATCTTCTGTCAGACAATGCAATCGCTGGGTTAATCATTATTCCCAGAGCAGACGTTTTTTAGAGCCTTCCTTCCCCTGTGACTTGCAGCCAGAGCGATAAAAACCACCATTAAAACTCTGCCTCACGCAGGGCTTTGGACTATAACTAGAGTAGCATTCGCTACAAAGAAAACCATAAAAGCAAATATCGTAAGTTAAGCAACAGTTAATTGGACAACAGATCTTACAGCGAGGATCTGATCCAATGGTGGTTTTCATTTCAGAGTGTGGGTGCAGCCCTGTTTGGAGCTGTCACAGGAACAATCCAGTGGAGGAGGGAGGGGGTGACCCTGAGGGAGAGATTTACAGTACGCTCCTAAACGTTACCCGATATCACTATCTTTCTGTGTCTCTCTCTTCTCACCTTCTCCACTTTTGTCCTGTCCAGACAGGCCACAGCAACTGCTGGAGGAGGGGTGTAGAAGGAAAGAAAGAAGCATGCGTTCGATTTGCAGTTCAAGTCCACCCTCTTCCAACACCCTGTTTGTGCTTTAATGTGAAAGGCTTCTTCCTTGATGAAGCATTGATGAAGCTCAACTACCCAAACTCCTTGAAAGCACATTACACAGATTTTTTTTCTGATATGGGGGAAATTTCATACACTCAAAAATGTGACTTCTGTGTGATTACTTCAAGTAATAAAAGGAAACTGCTCCTGGACATCATCACATAGGCCCAGTTCCACTCCTAAGCAAGGATCGTTTCTACTACAAATGCAGTTTGATGAGTTTGCAGCCCAGCTTGTCACTAATTTTTATACCTCAAATATCTCAAATATCAGCATATTTAAAATAAAAACGAGCGCTAACATGCTAATCATTAGCCATCTCGAATTGGGATTAGCATGCTAACAACGGCTAATCAGCACTAAAAAGACAGTAAATTGTAGGATGGTGAAACTGTAAACCCTTTCATGCATTTTTATTCCTTACTAATTGTTAATTAATAAATTAATAAAGCATATACTTAGCTTGCCTTGTGTCCGGCTATACTCTTAAAGACACTTATGTTCCAAGGAGTAACCTCCTGAGATTAAAAATGAAGTCAATGCAACAATGGCGAAAACTGCAGTTCCTCTAGGTGCCTCGTGGCACCTAGAGACAGATAGCTGGAGACCCAACGGTTGAGTAGCCATTCCTGTTAATGCTGCGTTGGTCACATAATACGCTGCTGCAATTTCATCACACAACCACATCCATACGGATACATCAGCACTAAAAAACGTAAGCAAAGACACTGCCAGTTTAGTTGGTGCACTCGCAACGTAACAGGAGTCCCATGTACCACTGTGAGAGGCCGCTGACATTTGACCTTATATGGGGATTGGATAAAAGTAACCAGATCATCAAAATGATTACGTTTACTGTGACACATTCGTCATAAATTGATCCATTTGGTGCCAATAATCAAACAAAAGGAATGTGAATGTTATGGTGTTACAACAAGAAAATTGAGTCACAGAAATCCTGAAGATTTACTGAGAACGACGAATCTATTGAATAGTTACTGGAATATTTGAGTTTGTTTGATCTGAAACACAAAAGTGGTCCGGTCTGTGTTTTCAGCCCTGCAGAGTCAGCAGCGTTAAGCACTCAAACCTATAATCAAACATTTCGGTCTTTCCCTCCTTCATGATCGCCTGTGTACACAAAAAGCACTAGGAGCCATATCGTTATCTTTTTAATTATCTTCTTTAGTTAACCTTTAAAAGCAGATCAAATAAGGGCTGGACTAGCAAGGGGCACTGTGTAACTGCCGCAGAGTGAGCTCGCCGAGAGCAGGACAGGCTTTGGGCTGACAAAGCTCCTGTAAACAAAGATAAGAGACCTTGGGAGGTGTGTTAAACTAGTAAACATGTACCACGGTGGAATCTAAAGCGTAGAGTGGGACAAACCATAACAGTGGTAGCTGTGACCACCTGAAACAACAGCAGCTGGATCAGCAGCTTCCATCTTTCTTTTAAGTGAGGACGCCTTTTCTGCTTCATATGAGAAAAGAAAAACAACAAATCCAAGCAGGAGTCACACTCTCGGCTGTCCAGCAAGTCAAAACAAATTTTGTGGCACAACCTGCAGTAATTAGACACACCCTTAATTTAAAAAAATTCATGGGGCAAGACGCCAATGGACTGACAACTCCATAATCTGGGAGGAAACCTCAAACTGTTGGCGCAGAATGGCGCTTTACAGATGTTTGTGGGCAAACATGATATTCTATTAGTATTTGTGACAAAAAGATTGAACCTACCCTCCACCATCAGCATGGGCTCCTTAGCTCCTCCGTGGGCCAACATCTCCCGTCGGTACCGCTCACCCATTTCCCTAAGAAAGAAACCAAGATGGAAGACAGGCAGGGAAGAGAAAGAGATACGGTTACAGACACCTGTATTCACCTGTCAACCCCTCCATCACTGCTGCTGCCACTGGGAGCCCAGGGCCAAGTCTGCTAAGTTGTCTGTAAACAACAGACAGGTGATAAAAACAACAGAGCTCTGACAACTGCAGGTGTTACCGAGACGAGGTAAAGGAGGCCAGGGGGACAGACAGACAGACAGAAAGGGAAACAAAAAGAAGTGAAACTGCTGCAGGGCTCAATGCGATGCTGATACGATTAACGGTTGATTTTCCACAACAGAACCTTATTGCTTTGCTTGTCCGGGGCAAATGCTTTAGATAGAGGAGGATCTGGTAATGTGGATGCTGCTGTGTGTCTGTGAATCACAGCAGATGCCACATTCACATTAAAGCCAGGGCTTTGATACAGATGATATGAACTATGTTTCTGCAACTCTTCACCACCTGTACTTCAGTTTCAGGGTAATGTAGTCATTGTTAGGAGGACTCCTCATTCCAGCCAATTTAGTATTTATTGCCCTTATAAATAATGAACCATGTGTCCAGTTAAATATCTGCCTCCCTACAAAAATAATTCCTCTATTCGGTTCTCTCAAATAAAAACATCTTTAACTCAGCGAAAGCTCTGATGGTTTTATAAGACATATATACATATACACACACACACACACACACACACACACACACACACACACACATACACACACACATATGTATGTATGTATGTATGTATGTATATAAAATTTAACAGTATGTTAAGCTTCGGTCTCACCTGTTTAAAGGATCCTCTATGAAGCATTGTTTCCATACCATCGAGGCCACCGCACGTGACATGAGGTAGGAGTAGTACTTGGCCCCGTACCCAATCAGGTGGCTGAATCTCAGCTGCCATGCCTTAAGAAGAAAATGAACATTGAACAAAAAAAAATAAACAACTGTATCACTTTAAATACAGCGAAGCCAATCCTGCCAATCCTGACAAAGCTAACGCTAGGCTAAACCCACACGGCTGCAACTTTCCTAACAGCATCTGTCGCGTGTCACCGTATCCAAGGTGACACGCGACTGTTGCGCCGGACAGATTACTTTAAAAATGCAACTTTAAAATCTGCTAATGAGTAAAAACAGCAGATTTTTTTGTAGCTATTCACACTCCATCAATTTTAAAAATGAAAAAAATCATTCGTAATCAAAAACTAAATCATGAAGACTGGGCACCTTACACCAAAACAAATAAAAATGGGTAAAATAAAAAGGATAGAGTGAGGTTACCCTACGGCCTGGCAGCGTGCACATCTCACAAGTGCTCTTTAAATGACCATAACTCCTCCGTCGCCATTAGTGCCAAAATAAGAGACAAAATGTCAACTGTTTTGGTAAGAAGAGAAGACGAGCTTTACGCAGATATTTGGTATGTCATGGTAGAACAAAGCATCTACAAAGTACTGCTGTCTATCGCCGACAGAAAAATCATCTGTTTGTCTCGTTTAGGGAGACATTTTAAAGGGTTCCTGTATAAACACTGAGGTGATAAAAGGCCAAACACCAAACAGTTTGATGTCTTTAAAACAGTCATATTTGAAATAACCAAGGTGTAATCGAGCAATCTTGGACAACCTAGCTATAATCTAACTTTACATCTTTTCGTGTCTGCACTCAGTTCAGCTCATATTTCTAATCTCATTACTTCACCCTTTAATATCCAGCCCTTCATGTTGACACAACCTGCTCTGAAACATCCAGACAGTCAGACACATAAACACCTGCCAAAGTACTTCAGAGGCGTTTGTGGTAACGCCTGCTTCAGTCAGTGACTCAGGACCAGAGTTTGCAATGACTACACCCTGACTACAGACCGACGAGGTGAAAACAACACGTCAGTAGATATTAACAGAAAGCAGGCTCATAAATACGCCAAACATTCTCAATCTTTTGAGCTGCCTACGTCGTCTTCACTGATGATATTAAACTGGTGAAATGAATACAAGTTTCCTTGAACAAACATCTTTGACAAACATTAAATCACATCCTGTCAGGTCCTTTTATAAAACGGACAAAACATGGAAATTCCTAACAGCTAGAAAGCCCCGTTCGCTCCTTTTCTCCCATGTTGTTGCCTGAAGGGGAGCTTCTCCATATCTATAAAGACGAGCTCCTTTATGATCTCTGAAAACGGCGACACTGGGAAATTCAGCTGGCAAACATTCAAACATTCAGCCTGCTAGAAAAGGCAGCAGCTGCTGTTGTTAACAAAACATAACAGACTGCAGACGCCTCCTTGCACATCCACATGGGGGGGAAGCAGACTTCATACACGTTAAAGATTTGAACTCAAATTAAAGTGAAATAATCATGAAACTGAGGGATGTGCTTGCAGACTGGTGCCCAAGAAGCTTCCAAAGGATCGTCTGACATCAAGGTACATGTTCTCCAGCAAAAAGCCAAATAACGCATTAGTGTGGATAAAAAAAATCTTAAATTCTTTATGCTGGGAAACATCTATTAAACTCATGTTTGTGAGAAGATATTTAAAAACCTACTGATGCTATACATCACCCTTAACATAAAAAGGTTCATCTTTTTTTCAGAAATTTGAATAATAAAGGGATATGAATGTAAAAAAATAAGACAAAGAGCACTGTAGGTTGTAAGCTCTAAAACAACTGCTTTTTGAGAGGAGCTGTGTCTGCTAAACTAAGCGCGGTCGCTCAACAGCATGAAAAATACTCCCGTGTTGACTTGACAAGACTCCTCAGGGCTGTAGTGACTTTAATAAGAGTCGATAGCACTCCTGAGAGGAGTCACGGCTCAGGAAAGTGTGGGTTAGAGAAGCAGGAACACAAATACAGGAGCTCGGATCAGCTCTTTCAAGTGCTATGAAATAGAAAATGTAGGCCGCGCTAACAAATGCGATAACACATCCAGAAAATTACAAAAAGCCTGCTTTAATTTGTTTTAATTCGGAGGCTCTTTGATTCCTCTGTGCTTCCTGACTGCTGATGTTCTGCTACTGAAAAACTGTTTGGTAATATGTCGCAGTCTCTGACAGGATGCTTTAAGTACTCATCACAAAGTGCCTTGATTATCAGGCTTCCAAGCTTCTCTTTGTTTTCAATCCCTTCGTCTCACATCAAATGATTATCGTCAGCTTTTCTGAGAGAGTGCGAGCGGGTCACATGTCAGCAAGATATCCTTTTCATCCTCACATACAAAAGGAAACTGAGTAAGCCCTTGCTTTTTACTCTGCTCCTCTTCAGTGTCAGTTAAAAGACATTTTTAGGTCTTTCCAAACTCGACTTGTGAGAAGAACGTGAGCCGTCGCATACACATCGACTCATCCTCTGGGGAAATAAAAGGGACAGCATTGCAAGTGTTAAAGGCACGGATTAGCAGTTAGAGAAATGTCAACAAAAGCGAGCAGGACACCTCGCTTTCTGCCTCTTATTCCCAAATATTATCTTCAGCTCAAGAGTGAGCATGTGGTCTGTGTTACTCGCAGCTGATCCTCTCACTCTGTACACAGCGGGAACTGATAGCCCTCCTCTATAAACTATACACATGTCAGCATCACCCTAATGTTTATAATCTGTGGCTCTCCGTAACCCATTAGCCACTCCAAACTTCTCTTTACTGCGGAAACTTTTTCCTGAGCTGCGTTTCCATGAAGGCAGTCAGACAGGGATGGATTCAGAGGGTAAACCACACAAAAAAGAACATTTTAAGGATCTAAACAAATCTGTTTTCACTTGCTCCGATCCAATCGTGATCTAATACTCGACGTTTAAGTACTGCAATCACCCTCAGTTCAAATGAGGAAAGCGATCTCGCTTGTGGTTGTGGCTGTGCACACGGAGGCAAAGTGCCTGTTAGAGCTTCCCGTATGGCTTGAAAGCTTGAAGAGAAATGACTGCGACAGTGGGAAACTATATAACATAAACCGCAATCTCCGGAGAGGGAGCTACAAAGCGAGGCACGTACAGAGGAGTGGGAGGACTCCTGTGAGGAGAAACGCTGGCTGGGACACGGTCGTCCGGGCAGAATATACAGCAGTCCTGTAATCTTTATTCCTGATGGCAACCCCACATAATTACAGCCCTGAGTAAATGCTGTATGAAGGCCATTTCTGGCTAAATTATGACTGTTTTTGATTCCCTTCTGTCTCCTGGCCTCATCCTCCTCAGCCCACAGCTGCTAAAGTGGGGGAATAAAGCACTTTTTTCATTAAAGAGGAGGGAGGAAGAGGCTCAAATATTTCCCCCTGGGAGGGTTCATTTAAAGTATCCCCCTGCTTTGTTATTTTAGCAGCCCTTCAAAAAACAGCTTTAATCCTTTAAACACTGCTGTGCCTGGGTGAGAGATAAAAAACCAGTGAGAGAAAGAGGAAGGACAGCGAATAAGAAAGGAGAAGTGAGTAGAAAGTTAAAGACTAAAAGGTTTCTGTGATCTCATTAAATGGGTATCAAAAGAAGAGCACAGAACCCTAAATTATCAACAACTTCCAAGCTTGTATTTTATCCTGTAGTCATGACGTCAGAGACCATAAGTCACGGGGGGAGAAAGGGAAAAAAAAAAGGTGGTCAGGCTGTACCGTGTTGGGCGCATAAGGCAAGCCGTAGAATTTCTGCTGCATGTCCTTCAGGATTTCTGTGGTAGAGCGGTTCTGTGGTTCGCTGTGGTAGATCTGATCCAAGACTGCATAGAAAATCTACACAGCAAGAAAAAAAAAAGCAAAAACAATCACCAACGTGAAAACTCTTAAACTGCAGAAATAGAGTTAAATGGTGACTAATGTCACACCATTGGACATGAATGCCCATTAAACTTTTAACATGTTTTGTGGTTGTCTTGTTTGAATCAGTTTTAGCTTTGTAAAGAAAAACAGATAAGCAAGGAGCACAAAAACAAGAGCTTTCCTAATAAAAAAAAAGGGATAAAGGCTAAAACAGAATGGGAACCAATCAAAAAGATAAAAACAAAACCAAACCTTTCATAGCCACCAGATGCTGTTTATGAGCAGAGAAGGACTGTTCTTTATCACATCAGCTCCTCAGGGTTTTTTTTTATGTTTTTTTATGACTTTTGCACCACGGGTGTTAGTATGAGATTTTCAGTTGTTGTTTTTTTTCTTAGGGGTGGGCGTAACACTAAAGTAGTGCCACACAAGCATCATAAATTAGCTGACACGTGTTATGGATGGTTCCTGCTGTTGCGTGCTCTGTGACAACGTACATGCAAAGACATTAATCTTACCTGCAACTGGGTGTCTGCAGCTCCACACACCTTTTTGGACTCACACAAGCGAGCCACCATACTCTCGGGTAGCGGCTAAAGAGACGATAAAACTGATTAAAGCTACAAATGAACAGAATTTTCATCTGAAGCCTTCATCCTGCAAATTTTAATGGCAATGCCATGACCGTAATATTTCATCAGAACATATTTCTGTACTTTATCGATTCAAATCTGTCCTCAGTTTAAATCGTTTTGAGTGTTTAAGGTTTACCTTTCCAGTTTCATAGTGCCGTGCAAACTGGCTGATGACTCGGTAGTCGGTGGCAAAGTATTCCATGAGGATGGAGGGGACTTCAGCAAAATCAGTTGCACATCTGGTTCCTAGAGAAGGGATGAGAGACTTTAAAACAAAGCAGGATATAGGTGACTTTATTCTTGGCTGCTTAAGTGCTTTGGCTTTTATGCTTAGAGTGTTAAAAACGAAAAAGTGAGCCAGAATGAGAAACCAAAGTCTTTACAGCCCCAACCAAAAGTCAGAATCAATACAAGTCCTTGTGATCTTGTGACACTCAGCAATATCAATAAGTAAGCAAAAGCACATAGGGCAGGAATAGATGTGTAGAACAGAGGTGAAAAAGAGCAACTGTCATGAGATTTACACAACACAAACTTAACCAACATGTCTAAACATTGTGCCCAGTGAAGAAACAACCTCCAGTGCAGTTAATAGATACTGTTGTCAGGCTCAAATAAAGGCTTTGGGATCTTAAATTACTACTGAAGGTATCTGCAAACCAAACCATATCAAATGACAGCGTTAGCAGCCAGCTATCATCTGCCCTCTCCTCAGGGCTTACTTTCCTTGTTCAATTCACCACAGTGTAATGTATAACCCCTTCCTACAGCTCTGTATCAATCTATGTAATTCTACCTTGTGACATTTGGAAATGCAAAGCCATAATGTTCCAATATTATTACTTCTCTAAATCCTCAAGCAAACCAGGGTCCACTGAAGAGCCCTACTCATTGTAAGGGTCACTCCGCACCTGTCACGTGCTGGTAGCGAGTGCGTCCCAGCATTGAGTGCATAGCGTGGCCCATCTCGTGGAAAAGGTTCTCCATCATGCCGGGAGTGAGCAAGGTGGGGGCGCCCTTGGTAGGGTGAGGCAGACTCAGCATCAGCACCACGACTGGCAACTGGTACTGACCAGTTTCCTGGCACTGGCGCCCACCGCGGATGGTGAAGTGACAGTCCTGGGAGGAAAATGAGGAGTGAGGCTAAAGTGCTACTATAGAAAATAATACTGATATATACTAATGACGTTACCAAAACATAATTAAATACAAACTCAGAAAATGTTGGGACACTTTTAAAAATGTGAAAAAACAAACAGAATGTAGAGATTTGCAAATCTCATGAACAAATTTTACTCATAATAGAAATAAAATTTTTACACAGAGAAAATGTTTAATTTTAAGAGCATCCAGTATTGAATTTCAGCCTTCTGCACAAAGAATTCTCTGAATGTTTTGATATTATGTCGATTAAGAGACATTGATGTTGAACATTATTCTGAAGTTCTCCCATAATTTGTAGACAGTTTTTTGCAGATTGGTGAACCTCTGCTCATCTTTACTTCTGTGAAACTCTGACCTGTTGTCAATTAACCTAACTGGTTGCAAAATGTTCCTCCAGCTGTTTCCCTTTAGTAGCATTTAGTTTTCCATCCTTTCGCTGCCCCAGTCCCAACTTTACTTGAAATGTTGCTTTTTTTCATGAATTAGTCTAAGTTTAAACATCTATGTTAAAATATGGTTTCGATGTTCGAGTGTGAATAAAATGTGGCTTTTCTGTTTTTAATCCACATTTTACAAAACTCGTTTGGGAATGGTTAACCACATTTCAAAGAAGGAAGAGATACTTTAAAATCTCGAGTACGTTGATGAGTGTGTGCTCATACCTGATGAGGTTTATCTTGCCGGTGGAAAAAGTCACAGTAGATGTATCCCAGTAATCCCTCCGTCTCATGGACCACAGCCTGGAGAAATGCACGCACAGTGATGTAATCACCCAATAACTGCACACAGACACAGCATCTGAAACTTTGATCTTTAAAAATGGTCCGTGGATTAGCGCTTGGCACAGACTATTCCACACAAGCGAACCTTTTTTCCTCACTAATAATGAGTTACCAGTTTGCGGACATCCTCGCTCCAGACCTCTCCAGCTCTGGGTTGTTCAGACATGAGGGAGACGCCGTACAGCTGAGAGAAGAGATTGTTCAAACCCTCCATACAGGAACCAAGAGACAAGTAGGGACTGTACAGACTGGGCTCTATGTTGTACCTGCCGTGACAAATCAGAACATATCAATGAAAGAAGGAGATGTGACCTTCAGCACCGTGATCCAACAAAGTACATAAAAACAACAAATAGGAATCATGTGCATCTTCTAAAACAGGAAGATCAGCAGATCTAGAGTGGTCAAATAGCCCAAAAGGCCCTTTTTTTATTACTGAACCAGAAGTTGAAGCCCAGATGAAAAAAGAACGGTAACGCTTGCCCGCTTTGAACCAGGACATATTTCTGTATACGTTTAGCTGCAGGTTGCTCACTTGACTAGCTAAGAAAAAAAGAAAACGGATCCTGACTATCACTCATATGTGAGCTCAGCTGGCAGGGCAAAGCCACCACAGTGCCAGGGCTCAGGTTTGGCCACCCATGCTTAAAATGGCTCCTTTCATTCATGCTGCTTATAAGGCATCAAAGATAAAGACCACCGAGCCAAAACGGTTGTTTAGCTAGAACACCACATCCATATATTATCAGTGATGAATAACAGGCCACTGCTGAACACAGCTACTAGCTGTGTTTACCACACACAAGCTCTAGTCCCTGTTTCAGCAGGGTCTGAACACACACCGGTTCGAGCTGGTACTGCTGGAAAAGCACCGATAAAAAGAAAATGAGTGACTGAGAGAAACAAAAAAGCCTGTGATTGTGACGAAAGAGCCTCAGTGGGAGGAATTAACATAATGTGAGCATGTAAGAGTGTACTTGTATGACCGTCTTTGTGAGGACCAACTTAAATTTGGGATCTTGGCTGTTCCTTTCCTCGCCGTCATACACCGAAAAGGGCTTTTCTTTTTTTAAATGCCACATCAATTTTTAGGCAGCATGGTGGCTCCCTGTCATTGCGTGGTTTCTCTCCGGGTACTCCAGCTTCCTCCCTCAGTCCAAAGACATGCGCTTAGTGCCGTTAGGTTAACCTGTCATTCTAAGTTGTCCATAGGTGTGAACGTGAGTGCGAATGGTTGTCTGTCTCTCTGTGTTAGCCTTGGGTCAGGCGGGCAACCTATCCATGGTGTGCCCTGCCTCTCGCCCTATGGTAACTGGGATAGCCTCTAACCCCACCCCATGACCCTGACAAGGATAAACGGAAGAGGATTGATGGACCAGTCCCAGAGGACTGGCAGCATGAGGAAGGAGAGCACAGACCCCACTCCTCCTCAGAAAATCTGTAAAGACACATCAAGTCCAAGTTTCAAGAAAACTTAGTAGCTGCTTAAGTTCAAAGAACACCTGACAGATCACTAATGTCTGCAATAAAGAGTTACCTAATGCCTCCCCAGACTCAACATATAATTAGCCTTTGCGCTGTAAAGTGCAGCTCATTAACCCTTTAAAGCCTGAAATGTGAAATTATTTTTATTTCACATTTATGATTTCATTGAACCATCTTAAAAATGTGTTTCCATAGACGACTTTTAATTTGTATATCTGGCTTCTTTTTTTTTTAAATTGTATAAAAATGTATTTATTTAGTGTTTAAAACACTAAATGTTAAGGAAAGTGAAAAGAAAAACTAATAATAGTGAAACTTATGGCTCCTTGAATTTGCTGAATGCCAAAGACGACCACAGTTTATTTAAGTTCCACGTCATGGGTGACATCCAGGACAGTTTGCCAGCACATGCTTTCTATCACGCATCGACGCCTGTTTTTTTAATACAATTTTTAATACAATTCCAAGTCTTTATTTTTAGTCCAACTTCATTTGTTTTCATTTAGTTACATCTGCCTTGCTGATACTGGGTACTGCATTGAGATCTGATGACTGTGGGGGTCCCTTGAGTACAGTAAAGTTATCGCCATGTTCAACTTTAGCGTTTTTGAGAGCAGACCATCTGACACCAACAATGTTGTTAAATCCTCCTTCTTTCCCACTCTGATGCTCATCATGACCGTGTCTACATGCCTGATTGCAGTGAGTAGCTGCCATGTGATTGGCTGATTAGATCATCAAGTCATAAGAAGCCACTGGGTTACAAAAAAAAGGAAAAAAAAAGGAGGTCGATTAGACTGAAAATCAGACCTGAAGTTTACTCCCATGCGTCTCTCCTAACACCTTTTGTAAAAAGCGACACTTGATGAAGAAGTGGGACGTGATAAGAGCTGCCGCTGTGAAGCAATATGGAATTACAAACATGTGAATGACTATCAAGTGACAGCAAGCTGAAAAATATGTTTCATAAAAGCTAAATCTCACCTTTCAGCACGCAAGACACCGCTGAGGTATGGATGATCCCAGGGCATGAGCTCCTGTCAGAAAACACAGAACTCATCGTAACTCTAAATCAGAATCAACTTACAGGAGTTAAAATATAATATTGTGTAATCAGTATTAATTGCTTTAAGGCATAACAGCATAGAGAGAAATGTGTAACAGTGAGTGTAATGTTGTGTAGTTGGCAAAAATATTCTTGCACATTAAAAAAATAAAAATCACGCACAGAATGTCGAGGGCTGAGTTTCTTCTTCATGTCTCTCATCATCTTAAAGTCTTTTGCTGTTCTGAAAGAGAAGCACCAAACAAGTTATTAGCGTGATGACTCGAGGCGTTCATTCCTGCTTTTTACCCACCTATCTCTACTCGGGGTCAACGGGGGCCAGAGCCAATCCCAGCATGCATTTGGCTGAAGGCAGGGAAACACCCTGGACAGGCTGCCAGGCTAACAGGCTCACATTCATACCTGTGGGTAATTTAGAGTCTCCCAGTCCACCTGAATTGCATATTTTTGGACTGTTTGAAGAAATCTAAGCACACAGAGAATCCATCCCACACAAAAAGAGGAACACAAAGGTTTTCTAAAAATGCATCATTGTGCAAATGATCAAACTCATATTCGCATGTATGACAAAACTAATTAAAGGGTCACTCGTTTCAGTAATTGTGGATCTTTGGGAAACATCTTAAATAGCCTAATAACTCATGGTTAACCTCGAGGGGAAGCACCGATTTAATGAAGCCTTTACACCAAAGGCAACAAAAACATAAATCAGCTCGTGCTGATGATTCAACCTGCCAAACTGAAATAGCTGATCAGTGGATTTTTATTATGAAAAACATGGAAAGCTGTACCTGTCTGACAGCTTGTCTGTTAACAGCTGAAGAAAGCTCATCACCGTCTCTGCAAAGAGGGATAAGAACAAAAATGCAGCGTGTAAACCTCCCGAGAATAGTTCTCAAAGGCACAAAATATTGACAGTGCTGAATAATGAAAATGTCCCGACTGTGAGAAAAACCCCAGAGAGGTGTAGTAACCTGGGGTTTTGGCCATTGTCCCCTTTAGGGCTCTGTGTCCGAAGGACTCGTAGCCCACCAGTGTGGCCAGTTTGTATCTGCATTTCAGCAGCTCTTCCAAACACCCCATCAGCTCTGCGTTGGGATAGAGATAAATCCTGTAGGCGATTTCTCGCACCTACACAAGTGGAAGAGGAAGAAGGAAAATTCATGACAAAATCTAGAATTGTTAAAATAGCATAACAACTAGGCTGCTGATCTTTGCAGGGTCAGAGGTAGATGGCTAGATAAAACACTAACTTTCAAGCAGAAGATGTTAAAATTTATTCATTTTTTTTCTTTTCTTTTTCTCTTTCATCTCAAGCTTAAAGAAAATAGTTTAGCATGCTTAAATTCTACAATGGTACAACACAACTGTCAGAAAGTCATTTTAAGATTACTCAAAGTTTGCAGATCTAATTTTTTAAAACTATTTCATACTGCTATCCACTATAAAATGAGATTAAATATGATAAAAACAAACAAACAAAAAAACAACAACAGCTGCTTGACTAAAGCTTTGAGCTCTCACAGGTTTAGTGTTTCTCATAACCAGCACCCAAATCCTATGTTGTGCGCTGAGACGTGGCAGAGGCGCCACCTTCTGGGCAGAAGAGAGAAACGTTTGCTGAGCCACAGTAAATGCCTACCAAGTCATTGGGGGAATCTGCATGCAGTCCCCCGATTTGAATGAAGCTTCCTTCTGTTGCAAAGTTCAGATGTAGGTGCTCGGGAATCGCAGACCTGGCGATCCTGTTCGGCATGTGGGAGCCGACCAGGAACTCGTTGTTTAGATCCAGCAACTTCACATGAAGAGCAACCGCCTCTTTCCTCTGCAGGGTGAAAAAGCACCAAGCACAATCACCGTTATGTTGCCTTCAGGTATTGTTTCCTACATCGCGTGTTTAACTCCATTAATAAAAACGCACCAGTGTGTCATCTAGATGAATTCCACTGATTTCAAAGTCGAACATGAACAGGTCTGCCACTCGCCTGCAGAGGCAAACATGTACAAAAGCCACAACAGGCCAAAATAAACAATCAGATAATCTCATAATGAGATGAAGGATAAATCAGGTCAGATACAAGACCAGGTAAGATTACCTTGTATCAGGATCCAGCTGAGCCTCGATGTCCGGGTTGTCCAGCAAATTCTTCAGGCTCTTGCATAACTCAACATTAGTGTTCAGTCTGAAACATAAAAACCATCAACATCTGTCACAGGCACAAACTGAAGCATAAATGACCCGTATCGCACCGTTGGAGACAGCGTATAAAAACATGTTCTTGGTGTTGTGCAGCTATGAACGACATAGGTCGCTTCTTACTTCTCCACGACTGTGCCGATCTCGATACAGGTCTTCTCAGCAGCCTCGCGGAAAGCTGGATCGGGGTGAGCTACTTTTATAAAGTCTGCCTGTTCACAGGGAGAATGATTATTGTTGACAAGATTGTCAAGAAAACAAGCAATCTCTGCTCATACTGAATTTTAGGAGGTTGAGATTAAAACAATGGTCTTTTGTTGGACTTTGCATTTTCAGTGGGAGAAATGTTTTGTCACTCATTCAAGTGACTTCTTTAGTCTTCACATAAAAGGTCCACAGCCAGAAGCATAGATACACTGGGTTCCCCACTTTCACCCACCGTGGCTAATCTGTATATAGAGGAAATGGAAAACAGGGCTCTCTTATCCTACCCTGGAATGCCACAGAGTCAGGTACAGGTATGTGGATGACACCTCGGTGAAAATCAAATCTCAGGACATAACACAATTCACTGATCACATTAACGCGGTGGACCAACACATCAAATTCAACAAGAAGGATATGAAAAAGATTTCCATCAGTAATGAGGAACATTTAAAAGTTGATGTGTTGATCGTAAACCAACACATATGGATCAATATTTAAGGTTTGACTGGAGCACAAACAGAGCGAACACCATCCCCACAGACACAGCAGCCAGGGACACAACTGCTGCTTAAGCAAAAACCACTTCTGATCCCTTGTGTCAAGAGTACTGGAGCAGCTGAGACGCGCCGTCTCAAAATATCACGACTCTTTGGCTTTCAAAACACACAAAAAGCTACGCCTAAGATTGGTCCACCCCAAGGATCGGGTCCCCTGGCACAAACAGAGCAACACAGTGTACGCTTGCCGTGACTTTGGGGAAACCAAACAACCTCTGGCTAAGCGTCAGGCTAGGACTCCGCAGTCTATTTACACATACAGGCCAGTGGCCACTCTTTCAATGATGAGGATGTACACATTTACGTGAAAAGAAAAAGACCACGGGTACATCTTTTCACCATCCTACAATGCTGTGATTGCAGCCATTCCGCAAACTCTCTATGAATGGTACTCATCATGCTCATGTAATCACAAACATGAAAGCGACCTCACAGCCCATTGTTAGTCAGTAGGGCTGGTCTTGGCTATGTGGGGAATAATATGACCTTATTTACACTTTTGCTACAAAGGTTTAGCACACTTTTGTGTGTTGAACTCACCAGATCGGCCACTTTACACAGTTCATCTGAGAGCTGGTCAAAGCACTGGACTGTCTGAACTCCAGGAGAAGAAGAACAGGCTTTCTCCACCAGACGCTCCGTGTTCTTCAGAGCTGTCTCTGTGGCCACCTGAAAGCCTGCAGGACAGCTCAGCTCTGGCACTCCAAACAAACCCTGCAACCACACACAAACGCACAGTTATCACCACCAACTAAAGCAAGACTTACCTACATAGTGTAAATGTTATTCTGCCAGTTTTGTAAGTTTTTTTTTATTATGATCATTTTTAAAGTACACACCACATTTTTCTGTAACAGGTCCAGTTTCCTGTGAGGTCTGGCATTGAAAGCAGCTCCAACGGGAGACCATGTAGTGAGATTTCTCCGTACATACGTCAACAGGCTCCTGTGCTTTACCAAGTAAAACATCCTCCTGCACGCTGACATGTTGTACAAACCTGTCTGTTGATTCTGAGGCTAAGAGTGCTGACAGTGATTGGCAGAGGACATGCTCGATTTTAGTTTGTACGTCAGCCTAGCTGCAAAAGCCGGAAATGTAAACAAAGCTAGGTCAGTTTATTTTAGACCTTTCTTTTTCAGGATAATTAAAACGGACTTTCTTTGACGTATAAAGCTTACCTGTTCCATTGAAGTGCTCACATGTTAGCTCACTGGAAAATGAAAGCGAATCTCCATAACTGTTGCTACTTGTATTTTCGCTAAAAAACCAAAACATCGGGCTTCCGGTACCATTATTAAAAAAATAAAAACGACACACTCTTTGTTTTTATAAGTTCAATCTAACTGCATTTAAACAAAATGTCGTTATCTAAAATTTCGTTATCTGAAATTTCATTTCATTTTTGGCGAAAGTGCGATGAGCTACCGAAAATTAGTTCGCGATGTCGTCATACTCACGCGACTGCGCAGTACGATTGAGAATTGAGGGGTGTCACAGGGGGTTTTGAGTCTCTTCAAAATAAAATAAAAACAAAAGATTTGTTTTTTTTATTTATTATTCCATCTTTTTTCACCCACTCACCCATATTCTTATAAACAATACAAATAAGGCAGCACGGTTGCGTGGCGGTTAGGAGGGTATGTCTTGGCTCACAGGTCTAGAGTTTAAATCTTACTCATTTTTTTAAAGTTTTTCTGTGAATTAACAAAATCTTTTTTTATATATTTACAGGACAGTCCATTCATTGGGCTGCTAGAATTTTTTCTGTTATTTTTACACATTTATTTCTTACTATTTAAGTCCAAAGAGTCGTGCTGAGAGATTTCTTTCATTTACTGAAGCAGCATTTATGTACTGTTGTACTGTCATACTGTTGAAACTGGACTTTCTTTTATTACGATATCTCAGGGATTAAATGTGTGGTTAAACTTCTCCACGCTGACAGAAAGTGAAGTTTCATTGGTCCGGTCTATGTGAGGTCACAGTGGCCATCAGTGTAAAATGAGTTTGACATCCCTGATATACGCACTTTTCACTAGCAGCATGACACAAAAACATAATTGTCTTATGAAAAATGTCAAAGATAACACAGTTTGACAGCCATAAAAATAGTATTTCTACACCAATATTGTGATTCCCCAAGAGCAGTTAGCTGAGAACTTGGCGTATCTCAGCATGGTGTGTATTGTGTAAAGACTGAAGTAGAGGATAAGCAGAGAGAAAAGGCTGAGGGAAGCCAAATTACCAAGAACTGGACTGAAAATTAGTGGCAGCAGGATTTTGTGGCGTAATAAATCTAAAATTTAAATTTGGGGAGGAAGTCTGTCAAGGTTTGGGGTTGCATTTCAGCCAGTGGTGCTGGAAATCTTCGGGCTTATGAACGTTGACATGCATGATCATGCTCCCGAACACGCAGCCAACGATGTGAAAGCAAACCTACCATTGGCCTCCCAGAGTCCAGATACCAAATTTACTGAAGCAGTGTGGGATCATCAAAACGAAAGGCAGCCAACATCCAAAGAGCAGCTTTAAATGTTCTTTAAACAGCCTGAACTACTCCTAGAAGTTCATCTGTTTGCACAGGAAGTGCAAAGAGATGGAGCGTCTTAATGAAATCAACGGGTAAGACCCAGTCCAAGACAGATTACACCTTGAAATGATGCCTTTATTAAGAGGAAGAATAAGTCATTCATTGTACTCCATGAACAAATTGCATTAATAGTCTTCCTGTGAAATCTGTTTATTAAAGGTGTAGTACGAAAAAACATTAAGCAAAATGTCATAAAGCGACTGTATTCAGAAACCTCCCCATAAACAAAAACAAAATCATGACTGGCAAAAAAAATGTTTTAAGTCAACTCCGAAAAAAAAAAAAAGACTTTAATACTGAAAGAAGGTAACACAGAACAACAATAAAAAGTCTTCCCAATATGAGAAATCACATTAATTTGCATTAAGTACTTTTGGTTACTTGTACTTGGCAAAAAAAAAAAAAAAAGAAAAAAGTACCAAATTGTGACATATGGCAAGACAATGCAGTTAATGTGTATAAAAAGAAAAAAGAAAAAAAGGAAATAGCTCAAATTTAAATAAACTCTTTGCCACTGAACGATCACCAAGAAGTTCAGGCAATTTCTTAATCACATATTTACACCTATTCACTAGAATACAACACAAACCTAATAGAAACAAAAAAAGAAGAAATGTAAGGGGAAAAGAAGTTCATTTGGCTCATATCAACTCACAATACAGTCAAGCATTAAGTATATGGATTTACAAAGGAGTGCTGTAGTCAAAAAGTCTAAACTTGGATTAGTTTTTGTCCCAGTAAATGTGCTTGGACATCTGCCAACCTGGAATTGCTTCTTGTCCTTACCTTAGCTCAAAAGAAACAAAATAAACCAAAAAAAACAAAAAACTGCATGTCTGAGACTACAGTAAACTTAGTTGACCCCTGAGTTTCTAATGCAAAACTAGTGTATGAAATACCTCATTACAGTGTATCTTAGTGCAAGCCAGCAGTATGCTTGATTAAACAGAGGTATATTAGATTAGCACCCAAGCTGACAAGATTCCCCAGAATAGCCTCTGCCAAACCTTTTGCTGGCAAAAATCACCACACGCAGTATGGGAAGTGATGTTTTGCTCTTCATCCTTGTGAAAACCAGCAGTTCAAATGCTTGAGTTTGTATTACATCTATAAACATGTTTGTTGTTTTTTTAAATGTTCCTTTAATCTTTTTTCATAGAAAATATAAATATCCCTGAATGAAAGATTCACAGCATTTTTCTCTCGAGGACTCCAGTGCTACTACCGTAAGGTGGCCAATCAAGTGTCTTAAGCTCTCCAGTTAACGTCCGGCTTCGTCTTCCCTCTAAAGCCTGTAACCTCCAGCAGCTATGTCCTTCATTCGCTGTCGTTGTACTTAACCGTCCGTTTCCCACGGTTTCGGGTGTTCACCCGCGTCTTCCTCCGCGGTTTGCTGTACGACTCGTCGCTGTCCTTCTCTTCCGAGGCGGACCTTTGGCGGCGCTGCCTAAGCTGGCGACTGGCAGTCCTTTCGCCGATCCCCGACCGTGTGCGGCATCTCTTTGGACTGCTGTGGGACCCTGAGCTGGCAAAAGAGTTTTCAGAGGCTGAAGACAACTGCTCGCTTTCTGAGTCCGAGCTGTGTTTGCTGCTGCTGTAGCTTTCTTTTCGTTTGCGTTTGGGCTGCCTCGCGCTTTCCTTTCCCCTTGTCGAACGGCCAAGATGTTCCTCGTCCTCCTCTTCCTTCTCCTCTTCCTCCTCACTAGAATCAGAGTGGGAAGAGGTGTCCTGCTCATTGCCGTTACCACGCTTGGCGTCCTTTTTGGCGCACTTTGAGGGGCCTGACTTGCTGTTTTTGTTGCTCTTGGATACTGGCTCTTTCTCTCTGTCCTCATCCGAGTCATCAGAGTCTGAGGTGTAAATACATTTTCTCTTGGAAGACACACAATTCCTGGTTTCACTCGGGGAAGTCCTGTTAGACACTCTTGTGTTATAACCGTCTTCTCTAGATTCTCTCGCTGTTCTGTTGCCAGTTCTCTGCCTGCCCGGCTTCGCAGAAGCAGAGTCTTCCTCAGAGAATGAGTTGTCACTGATGTATTTCTTTTTCGGCAGGGCTCGGAGGCTCAGCCGCCTTTTCGGCGCATTTTCCGAATTATCCGACTCCTGGTCTGAGGAGCCAGTAGAGCGTTTCCTCCTTGACTTCCTCTTGGGTTTGTACTCTTGCTCCGAGCTCTGCGAAGCCGAGGAGTCGCCGCGAGGCCGTTTGCATATGCTCCTGTTCCTCGTCAGCCTTTTCGTCCTCGTTTCAAAGTCGGACTCATCGCTGGAGCGTTTGCTTTCCGCATCCTGCTCGTCACCTTTTTTCAGCCTTTTCTTGCGTGGGCTGGATCTCTTTGGAGAATCACAGAGTTCATCTGATTCCGCACCATCCAGTTTATGAGCTGAGGCAGATTTTTGTTTGTCTTGGCTTTTTGACGGAGAAACTTTGCTTTTTTTCTTCGGGTCTTTGTGAACTGCTTCCTCCACATTTCTTCCATTTTGGTGTGGCCGTTTGTCCTCTTCGTCTGAGCTTACGGGAGGTTTGTGTCGTGTGCTGAGGGGGCGGATGTCTTTCGTCTCCTCTTCCTCCTCGCTTGTACTCCTACTTTTTCTCACTGGGGCAGCTGCCGTGCTCCTTGACGGTTTCTGAGACCGAGGTGGCTGCTGTTCCTCCTCCTCCGCTTCTCCAGAGCTCTCTCCGGAAGTTTCCTCCTGCTCAGAGTTGCTCTTGGGCGTGTGATGTTTTGCACTGTGTCCATTCACACGGGACAAAGTACCTGTCAGGAAGGAATAAAACATCGAGCTGTTTAGGGCAACTTCCACGGCAGCATTAGCACAGTCTAAAAATGCGACTGATGAGGACATTTCTCACCATTTTTCTTAATCTTGGCAGCTTGTTTGGAGTTCTTTGTGTTTCCATTCTGCTTACTCTGGGAGAACGATGAGGTATCGCTGTCATTGCCATCCTCCTCATCCTTAAACTCACTTCCTGATTCCTTTGTATTTTGGGAAGCTAAAAGATGAAGGAAGAGAACATAACTGAGTAAAAATCTTTGTCTGAATAATATTCACAGACTTTTAAAGAGTAATTAATACCTGCTGCTGACTCTTCGTCTGATTCTGAGCTGCTCTTAAGCACCGCCGTGCGTTTGCTGACCCGGACAGTGTGGCGAAGGCGGCTACTGCTCCTCCTCGGCTTCTCCTCCTCCTCCTGGTAGTCTTCATCAGACGCTTCAAGGAGCTTCATCTTATTCACAGCTGCCCGAGCAGTCTTTCTTTTTAGCGACCCGCGAACTGTCACTTCCTCCCTGTCGGAGCCTTGAGACGTGGCCCTGTCAGAGTCGCAGCGGGGACGCCTCTCCCTGCGAGACGACCTGCTGCTGTGACCGTTCATCTCCGCTCTGCACTCTGAAAACAAGCCGTTCACAAAGGTCTGTGAGCACACTTGGCGCTGGGTTTTTGTATCTCACGGGGTCGGAGACTGAAGGCAGTGAACTTGTGTTACCTGCACGTTTTCTGTCCCCAGCAGCGCTGTTTCTGGTCCGCCGTGTACTCCTGCTGGGATAGCGACGATCTGAAGTGGACGACGCCTCTCCATCCTCTCCCTCTTCACCCTCACTGTCAAATTCCTCCTCCTCTTCATCATCTTCTTCCTCTTCTTCACTGTCGCTCTCAGCAACTAGCAACAA